CCGGTCAGGGCACATGCCTGGGTGGTGGGCTTGATCCCCAGTAGGGGGCGTGCAGGAGGCAGCCGATCAATGATTCCCTCTCATCATTAATGTTTCTATCTCTCTCTCCCTCTCCCTCCCTCTCTCTGAAATAAATAAAAACATTTTTTAAAATCTGTAAAAAAAGAATAGGGCAGACTCATTTGGAGATTTTCTTCAAGGACCTAAGTGTCTCCACCTCACCAGGTGGCCTATCTTTGATCACAGGGGCAGCTCCCAGGCAAAGGGTGGCCTCAGTGTTCAGCCTGCGGGTTAGGCCCTGCTGTAACTACCCCAGAGGAGTCACGGACGTGGCAGGCTTCCGCTTCTCTCTCCAGGCCTCTTGGTTGGCCACCAACTCTGAGCATGGTTCTCCCTCAGGGAGCCAACACCTGGAGGGTCAGGGCCAACTGCTGAAGAAAGCAAGTGCTGCCCTGGCTGTCCGTCTCCTCCAAGTCTTGGCAGACACTGGTGGGTTGCTGTCTTGAGGGGCACCATGGAGCCTGACCTAGGGTTCCCAGGGCCACCCTGGCCTCAAGATTACAGGGTCTTGGAGCCTGTTGTCCATACTTGGCTCCCTGCAGCATCTGCCATGGCATCACCACGCTTCTAGAATGAGACACCAACATCCTCTAAAGCCACCACAGTGCTGGTGCTTTATCTTCTATTTAGCCTTCACAATTATAAGAGGGATTGTTATTCCTATTTCACAGATGAGCAAAGTGAGGCTTAGAGAGGTTCAAATCCACATAGTTCACGAGGAAGCCAATGTGCAAACTCAGAGTTACGTGGCTCCAGAACAGCGGTCGCCAACCAGTGGTATGTGGACCACTGGTGGTCCATGAGGTCCGAAAGGGTGGCGACCGCTGTTCCAGAAGGCTTCCTCTCTCCACTCCATCCTCCTGCCTTCAGCCCGATGCCTAGAATTCTACCATCAGATGTTGTAAACACGTCTCCTTTCAGGAGTCTTCCCATATAAACCAGTCACTCCAAAGATAGTGATAGTAAACCGTGTAGAGTTCCAAACCCTACATTGTTTTATGTGCCTTTGATCACCCTAGTTTTTTCTGAACAAGATGACCTAGTTTCTCTATGTTCTTTGCTTCACATTCATGTTTCCTTTTAAACCCATGCTTTCCGATATGGTAGCCACTAGTCACACACAGCTATGGAGTCCTTGACATGTGGCTAGTGGAAATGAGGAATCAAATTTTAAACTTTATCTCATTTAAGTTAATTTAAATTTTTTAACTGGTGCAATATAACATATGTTTCCATTAAACACAACTTTACTGCGCTGATAGGACTACATTTTTCTTTACCTTGAAGATTTGATGTCCAAGTTGAGATGTGCTATAAGTATAAAATACACACTGGATTTCAAAGACTTAGCACAATAAAAACTGTAAAATATCTTACTGATAATTTTTATATTTTTGTGTGGTAAACTGGTAGTCTCTTGGATATCTTGGGTTGAATGAAATCTATTAGGATTATTTTTTCTGGTTTGTTTTTGTTTTCATGTGGCTACTGGAAAACTAAAAATTACCCATGTGGCTCATAGTATATTTCTACTAGGCAGCAATGGACAAAGCCTTCCCAGACAGCACCCCTCTGAGAAAGCCTTCCCCAATCACCCAGGCTATACACAGCGTTCTCTGCCTTCTCGTGACATCCTCTGACATAGCACCTACCTCATTAACTGACATCATCTCTTCATGTGTCTGTCTCCCTGCCGGCCCCAGACTATAACTTTCTCAAGGGCAGAAACTATGTCCTCTATTTCCAGGGACTGCACAGTGCCTGGCACGTAGTAGGTACTCAATAAATACTCATGAAACAAATTAATGAATGGCTAACCACATCAAGTTCACAAGATCACAGGCATTTTAAAGTCAAATTTCACGTATAACTACTTTTTAGACGAATATTCTGTGTTAGGGCTTCCTGGAAGTTCAGTCTGTTAGCTAAGTCTCCCGACCACTAGGCTAAGTCACTGCACTGTGTGCAGGGGCCAGCGTGGAGGGGGCTGCACAGGGCAGTCCTTTAGGCAAACCTTCCAGCTCTTTCTAGAATCCTGCTCCTAGGAGGATACCAGATGGGTGCAGGGCGGCAGTGAGCAGACAAGGATGAGCTCCAGGAGGAGCAGAGCAGAGAAAGGAGGAAGTGAGGAGAGCAGGAAGCCAGGCGCCTCCCCGGGCCTTCTGTGGCGATGTGAGCTGCGCTCTGCTGCCAAGCAAATAGTGCTGAGGAAGACGGGAAGGAGAGGCCAGGCTGGCTGTGGTATGCCACTGGGTGGGGTTAAAATTTACAACAAGGGAGCGGCCACTGAAGAAAAGAAAGATTCTTTTAAAAATTCTGCTGAAGCCTAATTAAAAAAATTCCACTCCCTCATGCTAAGTTTTAAGAGACTTCCCTTTCAGAATTATTTCCAGTCTGGTGGTAACAGGCAGGAAGGTGTCAGATATTCACCGAGCTGTAAAGCGGATACTCTCCAGCCCCTAAACACTGGACCTGCCCACAGTGCTTCTCTGACTTGGGTTACGAGGACACAGGATATAAAGCTGTCAGGGCACAGATCTTTCTAGAAAGGAGTGTCCCATGTGGTAGACTGGCTGCAGTCTTTTGCTGCTCCTCCCTCCAAGAGGTGGATTGGATTTTGCCAACCCTAGACTCTGGGTTATCCTGTTGGGACATTAGACCACCCCGGTCAAGCAGGGGCTGGAAAGGGGCTTGTACACTGGGGTTGGCTTTCTTTCGCTCTTTTTGGAATCCAGCCGCCACCTGAGGTCGAGCTGAATCTGCTAGATACTGGAGACACATAGCCCAGTGAGTTCCGTGGCTCCCTACTGGCTAGTCAGACGTGCATGTGACACCATCTGAGCCACCAGGCCTCAGAGAATAATCCGTCAGCTGACTGCAACCACAGAAGCAAACCAGGTCGATTTAGCAGAAGAACTTCCCAGCTGAGCTCAGCCTGAATGGCCGACCCCGAGGATGGCAAGCTAATGAATGATTACTGTTTTAAGCCTCTAAGATTTGAGGTGCATGTGGCAACAACAAACCAATATATCCTGCCTAAGAGGCAGAAGTCCACAGAGAATTGGCCATCTTACTCCTATCGATCCTTCCTATGATAGGAGTGATTAGGAGCCAGACAGATGTGGCTCCATCACTTGGCTGGATGTGATCTCAGGGATCCTTGACAACAATGACGGGATCTACAATGTAATGAGAACCGTGTCAACCAGGGTGGTGCATGGGAATGAGGATAATTTGGGGAGAGTTTCTACAGGGGTAACTGCATTAGAAAGGTGTGGTCAGGGTGAACCACAGGGGAGAGTGCAATGCCCTGGGGCCCTGTTGCCACCCCATTGTGAAGAGGCAAGGAGAGGGCACGAAGAAGAAGAAGCTGGAGACAGGGCAGGCTGGGCCTGGAGACAGGGCAGGCTGGGCCGAGAGGGGCCACTTGGCAAGAGGCAAGGCCTTCTGTTGAGAGATGAAGCTGTTCCACAGTGACTCAGCGGGGAGGGAGCTGGGAGAATAAAAGCCCCAACCTGCACTTCTCCCTTGTTTCTATGTCTTCTTGTTTTGAATACACAAATTTCAGAGAGGAAGTGAGAAGGAGAGATAGAAACATCAATGATGAGAGAGAACCATTGATCGGCTGCCTCCTGCACTGGGGACGGAGCCCACAACCCTGCCACGCCGGCCAGGTGCTTGTTCTTATTTCTTGCCAGTGCTCATGTTGGCCAAATCCAACTGGAAACCACTGGACAGACAGCACGGCCTCCTCTGGCAAAAAGCAAAGTGGAGAAGGAGAAAGAGTGGACCTGGGGAAATGCAAGACATCCACCCCAAAGTTCTAAAGGCAATAATGCATCAAAAGCACTGAGCACGGCCCCAGCACCCACCAGTTATTATTACATCATCAGCATAAACCAAGACTATGGGTGGCAGAAAAGGAAATGAGTATTTTTCTGCAAGGGAGACCTGGAGAGTGAGTATTCCTGGAGAGGTGTGCTTTGGGTTGTGGCTTGGAGAACAGGATCATAATAATAACAAGAGGAAATATTTACAAGGCATTTAATGTGCAGGTGCCATTCAGATGCCTTACATACATTAATTTATTTAATCCTCATAACCATCTTTTGGGATAGGTATTATTATTATCATCCCTTTTTCACAGAGGAGAAACTGAGGCAGAGAAGTTAGATAATTCTGATGTCCCAAAGCTAATAAGTAGTGAAGGCAGGACTGGAGCCAATGTCAACTGTGGTGTGTGGCATAACAATCTTTTCTTAGGCACGGAGCTAGAAAAACTCACATAGAGGAAGCAGCGAGTCATCAGAGGGGCTGGAGTATGAGCTTTCTGCTGGAGGCAGTGAGAGACAGTCTGGAGAGGGAGCTACGGATCAGATCTCTGGAAGGCAGAACTATAGGCTGAGGAATCTGGCTTCCACGCGGGCAGGTGATGGGAGGCCATTGAGGATTTCGGGGAAGAGCAAGGCAACCACGGCTGAGCACTAAGAGAATTAATCTGTGTGCAGAGTGACGCTAACAAAGAAGGGAGCACCTGGCAGCAGGGCAACCAGCTCCAGGATACTGCAGTGGTGAGGCACCAGGAGAAGGAGGCTTGAATGAGGAAGACAACACCGGAGGCGGAGGGTGGGGACCTTGGGGTTGCACAGCAAGGGAAGGATCGACAGGACTTGGGGACTGATGAGGTGGGTGAGTCACGGAGAAAGAGAAAAACAGGACAGAGGTCCCGGGACCCAGGTGACAGGATCACGTGGACTCAGACGTACCCTTCAACCACACTGAGTGTCCGTGTTGGGAAAAAGAGTGCCTACCACCCAGTCTTGTGTGTTTTCTGGTTATAACACAAATGCCATGGAGTTGTACCAACCCCCACTCAATAGCAAAACAGCAACTAGTTTTGCAATATCAGTTCCTGGCAAATTCACTTGTGAGCCAGGAACAAGGGTTCAAGGGCTGCCTCCTGAGTTGGCAAGAGAACCAGGGTTGTGGGATATCGTGAGCCTAGTTCTTGGGGAAGCTGGAAGGATGCTTGGTTGCCCGGCGACAACGCTGCCTCACGGCAGCCCTTGGTTTCCCACAGCCCTGGATGCATCTCATTGAAAGGAAAGAGGGGCGGCTGGCTGACACGTTTCCTGAAGTGGCATTTTCCATGCCCCCAGTCTTGGTATCCTGTTGGTAAGTGGCACTTACAACTTACAAGGGAAGGGGGGGAAACAGGGAGGGAAAGAAAGGTCTCCAGTGCAGGAGGAGTTGATCCTGATTCTACGATTCCAGCTTGTCTCACAGACACGGGGTGCAGAGCCTCCTTGAAACCCCACCTGAAATGAATTAGCCTGAAGTAAAAGTAGGTGTTTATCTCGAGTCATCGCCTCAAATAGCTGACTACCTGTTGGAAGAGGGTCTGATCGATGCAAACGAGAGCAGCCGTGCGTGAGCTGTTACACAGCGGTTAGTATTGATCAGAGCTAAAGGCTGCCGATAGGAATGTGGAGTGAGCTGACAGGCAGAGAAGAGGGAAGGAGGAAACAGCCTTCGCTGGTGGCAGCCGTACAGAGGAAAGCCAATAAAAAGTCAATCCCACTTAACTGAATGGCTGCTAACTAAATATTTGGGGGGCGAGAGCCTTCCCAGGTAGCAGCTGGAGCATCTCTGTTCCGAAACTGAGACATCAAGTGAGAGCTGGCGTGGGCAGGCTAGAGAAATACAGGGCCCTGCGGACGGATGGGGAAGAGGAGCACCCCCAGAGGGAAGGATGGGAGCCTGGGCTGGGCTGACGGGGACACTGGCCATGGAGTGCCGCTGACGGGCAGGAGAGGGACAGGAGCCCTTGATTAATTATCTCTTGTAAAGATCGGATGCTTTTCTCTGAATTTGAGGAAGGGATGTTGAAACTAATTGGTGTGGTAAGGAAAAGCCGAAAATGGATGGTCTATTGCAGAGAGAGGCAGAACAGTGCAGTACAAAGTACAGAGACTGGCTTTGGGGCATATGGTGTTCACTGGTAACTTGTCTTCCTGACCTTCAGTGCACACAGGAGGGCTGCACTTTTCTTTCCTGAATTTGGCATAACCATATATCTTGTTTTGGCCAATGAGATGTGAGTAGAGACATGTGTTTCTTCGGGGTAGAAGCATTTCATTGCTAGTGCCCAACCTTCCAACCCTTGGCTTGCCCCTGTGACCATAGGCATTTGATGGTGGATATGAGCAAAACTATCTGGACTGTGAAGCTAACATTTTGTGTGAATAATAAATGCCTATTGTGTTACAATGTGGAATTTTGGGGCTTGTTTGTTACCGAGCATAACCTAATATATTCTGACTGATGCATGGAATTTGAATTTTAGAATCCTGTGTCTACCAGTTGTTACTAGTTGGATGATTTGGCCTATTGTTTGATCTACCCAAATCTTGGATTATGTATATAAACCACATAAAAACAGCAAAAACAATAAAAACTGTGATGTATTGAATGCATACAAGGTATAGGCATGACACAGGCTCTGCAAATATTAACTTGTCTAACTCTCAAGGCAGCCCGCCAAAGGATCTATTATTATCCTTACTTTACAAATAGAGAACTCAAAATCAGAGAGTTTAAAAGACTTTCCCAGGGCCACACAGCTTATAAATGTCAGGCAGGAATTCAAACACAGGCCAACCACTCCAGAGCACTTGTTCTTAACCATTTCTATCCTACTTCTCAGCTTAGGTGCATAATAAATAGCATGTCTCCTAGTATAGAGTTGGAAATAACTTCACTAACGTGCACTCAAGCACCCTATGGTTGTGGTCGGCAAACTCAATAGTCAACAGAGCCAAATATCAACAGTACAACGATTAAAATTTCTTTTGAGAGCCAAATTTTTAAACTTAAACTATATGGGTAGGTACACTGTTATTAACTTTAGGGTACTCCTAAGGCTTAGGAAGAGCCACACTCAAGGGGCCAAAGAGCTGCATGTGGCTCGCAAGCCGCAATTTGCCGACCACGGCTCTATGGGAAGGGGAGGAAAAAATGTGGCTAGTATTTCTTTTGATCTTTTACTACCCTCAAGTCTCTGAAGGGGTTGAGCCTGCCTGGAATATCCTTCTCCACTGGTTCACCCAATCCCGGGTATTTCTAAAGCTCCAGGTCAATTTCCTCCTCACTTGTGATACAATCAAGTAAACTCCTTGTCAATGGGAGGCACTGACTGGACTTCTGTCAGAGGATACTGTTCTGAGGAGCTTCTCATCTACAAAATGGGGACACCACCACCTGCCTCACTGGGTTGTTATAACATACTACTTTTTCATTATTTTTAAAGATCATATACTAGGTTTTAGACACTAGACAGTGTCTATGTTATGTGTGTATACACATATGTAAAAGAATGATCTATTTATCAATATCTTTTAATCTTCATAGCAATCCTAGGAGGTAGATAATTATGTCCATTTTACAGATGAGGAAACTGAGGCTCAGAGAATTTAAACTTTCCAGAGGTCACCCAGCTAGAATGAAGGAGGCGGGTTAGTTCACATTACAACTTCAGAGCCCCCTTTTTTGTCTATTACACTCTGGTGCCTTTCCCACTTGTGGAGATAAAGGGGAATAACACAGGTACAATGTTCTTGGAGTACAGAGCCTGGCGCATAGCTGCAACTCGGTCATTGGTAGCAATTATGATTCATTCATAAGCATTTATTGAGCAGCTACTATGAGTGCTCAAAGAAATTCCTAAAGGAATTCTTTAAGGATTTTGGAAAGCAAACATACAAGGAAATCACATCTTGTTCACAGTGCTTTCTGAGATATCCCTGGACTGCCCGCAGCCAGGTCCCTAGAAGACACTAATCAGAGGGGATCCCAGGCCAGGCCAATGGGCAGGATGTGGGAAGCAGCTCTCACTGAGCTGGTGGGCTTTGCTGCTGGGTCTAGGTCCTGGTGAAAGGTAACTTCAGCCTCACAACCAGCCTGCAGGGGGCCAGGGCCTCGGTGCGGGTGTGAGAGGAGCCCCTGCAGAATGGAGCCCCATGCTGAGCACCTGCTGCTCTGGATCACAGTCACTCTTCACAGCCACCCTCAGGGTGGGGGGCGTGAGTTGTCCTGTGCCCAAAGCGGGTATTTGAACCTGGGACTGAGCTCGTCGCACTAAACCATGCTGCCCTTGCCTTAGAAGCTCAGGTGTGGAAGAAAGGATGGCGACTGAATGAATGCTCTGACAGGAATTGGAATTTACCTGGGAGCTGTGGATCCCATCCAGCCCTGCAGGAGGAGGAAGGGATCCCGTAGGAATAAGGGGCCTCCCACCACGTACCTCCTTACTCTGTGCCGGCATCATGCTAGTCCTCTCCTTACACCTTCCCTGCATCCTCCCAAAGGGGTCTCACTGACCCCATGTGACTGATGAGGAAACAGCCTCGAAATGTGAAGTGTATCAAGTATTGGCCCCTATTTTCTCTACATCCTTATGAGGTCGTGTCATCATTTTTCTGAGTAACTGGCCCTCCTAAGTACCTTAATTAGGGGGTTATCTTTGCTCTCTGCTTGTCAAAAAATACTAGTTACTTGAGAAATGCATTCCATTGATTGATATATCAATATGTTGATGTGCACGTGCACGTGCGTGCGTGTGTCTGCTGGGCTCCTCTCAGCTAATATTTTGGATGTGTTCCGGGGGGAGTGTGCTCAGGCTATTTCAAGTTTCTGTACTTAACGCTGAGCAGCTGTAATAAACTTCATTCCTTTAGGTAGTAGACTTAATATTTTAAGTCTGGCTTTAATTACCATCCTCCTCATGCTGAAGGCCAAACCAGGAAAAGGGGGAAAAAAAATCTAACCTATGAGTCTTGCCAGTGATTCCACTCTTAGAACGAAGGCCAGAATTCCAGAACACAGAGGCAGGGCTCGCTCTAAATTGTTGCTCTGGGCACGGGCACACAATGCTTACAGCGTTTCCAATCACACGGGGTCCTGGCATCCCAGCACAGGTTGTAAACATTTGTCTCTGGGCTTTCCCAGAAATGTGTCTTATGGAAGGGATTAGCTGTGTGCGCATTTAAACGTCTGAAGGTGAACTCCTCTAACCTAACCCACATAATTAAAGTGGAAAATTTCTGGTGGAGAAAAAAAAAAACATCAAGGAAAATACCATGTTTGGGAAGAGAGCTGTGCTCCTACGGTCTCAAGAGATGGGCTTGCGTTCCTGGCACTTAATTATGACCCGTTTTTCTGGGCGCTGCCACTCCCGTCCGTTCCGTCTTATCTCTGCGTTGAGACGATAAGCAACATGAGGGTGTGATATCGGTGTGCCGCCTGTGGTTGTTTTCACAGTATACTTTTTAAACATTATATTCATTAACTTTAAAATATGAAGTATTTAAGGAAGAAAATAACAAAATAGCCCCGCGTGCATCAGTGCTTGAGTGTTGACCTATGAACCAGGAGGTCATGGTTTGATTCCCGGTCAGGGCACAGGTCCAGGTTGCGGGCTTGGTCCCCGGTGTGGGGCGGGCAGGAGGCAGCGGATCAATGATTCACTCTCATCATTGATGTTTCTATCTCTCCCTCGCTCTCCCTTCTTCTCTGAAATAAATTTAGAAAAAGAAATACAAAATAAAACAATACTTTTGTTATTCAGATAAATACTGTTGGTATAAAACAAAACCAACTTGCGGAGCCATCACTGAAAATTCCAATAGCACAGAAAAGTACAAATAAAGAAATTAAACAGCCTGCTGTCCGCATCTGAGCTTAGTCCTTGCTCCACAAATACTAACACTCTTAGCATTTTCTTGTGATGCCTTCATTCAATTTAAAAAATATATTCATGGTATAATTTTAGCAGCTCACATTACTACTTGTCCTTTTTGCTATAATGGCTGATATTTTCATCATCATAGATTCCCTCCTTTCCATGTCAATACTATATGTTCAAGCTATTTCTTTTATTCACATATATTCTTATTTTAAAATGCAAATGACAAGAAGCAATGTTAAATGTTTGTTACCCACACTCCACCCCCCCCCCCCCCCCCCAACTGGAGCTTGTACTTGAACTGAGTGTTGGTTCTGGAGTTACACCACATAGGCCATTGCTGCCTCAATTTAACCTCTCTGTGCCTCAGTTTTGTCATATGTAAGGTGGGGTAATAATGGTACCTGCTTCATAGGGTTGTCATGAGAAATCAATGAGAGACTAGATGCATTGAGAACAATGAAATACATAGCATTACAGAGTAGGCCTTGAAAATTGCTAGCTATTATAGCTACTATAATTAATAACTAAACATAAATGAGTTTATGTACATGACTCACATAGTCTTCCTTATAGCTCCAAGGAGTAGGTTCTGATAATAACCCGTTCTGCAGAGGAAACTCAAAAGCATAATGTAACGCCCAAGGTCAGGCAGCTAGGTCTCAAGGGCAAGGCGAGCTGCATGACCTTGGGTCTTTCCACGGGACCAGCTGAGACCAAGGCAGTTTCAAGCGGGGGAGGGGAAGCACACAGAGAGAGGCTTCTGGACCTGGAGATGGCAGTGACAGTGGGGCAGGACGGGCGCCTGGGGGAGTGGGGGAAGGCTGGAATGGGGCCAGTGCTGGATCTGATTTCCTTTGTGGTCTCCGGTGTTGTCAGGAGTTGCTGGAAGCCACAGGACTCGAGTCCTGGGACCAGGAGTTCTGGTTCCATCCTGAGCTCCAGGACGGTGGCAGCTGGTACCACTTCGCCAGCACGTTGCCTCTTCTGTAGGACAGGGCTCTCAAATCCCCACTCACTTCCCTGCCTCGTGGGGCTGTTGTGAGGCTCACGTTATCTGGGGACCGTTCGGTGTTTGACTCACTGGAAAGCACTGCGCAGAGAGGCTGGATACTGTTATTGACGTGACGTACCTATGAGTTTCAGAGGCGGGTGCACTTGGTCCTGTAAAACTTAGATTTAGAGAGGCCCTGCTTATGCCCCCAGCGGGGAGACTTCCTGGTGCCGGGGATGATGGTACAGCCTGTGGTTAACTCAAGAACAGGCAGGGAGACGGGGAGCCCGGGGGATGCACACGGTCATTATTATCTAGGGGCCCTGACAGCAGGTTTCAGGAGCACGCTGTGGTCAGCACTCTCTTCTCTAACAGCTGTTTGGGGCGAGGTGGGGATGGGTGATATCCTCTCTGATGTGTTGGAAGTTGTCCTGACGTATGGTCGGGTCAACTGCAGTTCCACATATCACATGGAGATGCCAAGCAATCGACCCTGGCCATGCCTTCTCTTATGGGTACAGCATCTCATGTCTAGGTTGTATTTCAGGCCAACTCTCGTGAAGGGAATCAATGCTTGAAGCACATAATGTAACGTGATTCTTCAAGAGTTTGATTAATTGTGTCACAGTCACAGCCTCGGTTCAGGTTCAACGTTTAAAAGTTTCCTTATTGTATAAAGTGATCAATCAGGAGGAGAGGAAAGACAAGTGCTTGGCTTTGGCCACATCTCTCGCTCTTCTCTGTCAGCACGTTTCCCTCTCCTGGTCAGTCCGCCCGGATGGTGCTGGAGAAACGTGGGGTAGTGCGGATCCATGGCAGAGTAGAATCTAGACTAAGAAGGAGGCACTCAGGTGCTCTTGGTGGGAGGTAGTCAGCTCCAACGCTGAACAACCTTGGTTTTTCATAGCACACATCTGGGAGCTCTAACATGTTCGGAGGCCTGCACCCCACCTATAGCGATTCTGATGTCATCGTCTCAGGTGTGATATGGGCAAGCTCAGGGTGTGTAGCTAAGGGTGACCTGGTTAGAGTAGCTCTAAGTAAAACCATCGAGGTGGCAAGTTTGGAACCTGCTCTCAGAGTGATCCCTGACAAGGTATCAGCTGGTAAAGATTTAAGGTTTTCGCACCACCACCACCCGCCCCCCCTCCCAGAAGCACGTGCATTTTAACATGGGATTCTTAAAGTAAAGAAGACCTGGAGTAACCTAGCTATAAAAGAGGGGTGTGGGCCCTCCTGAGAAGATGGCCAAGATGCATTTGGCGCTGATGGCTTTCCAATCATCACCACTGGAGTCCTAGTCAATACATAGTCTGTGTCAAACACTGTTCTAAGTTTTCTCTCTTTACAGGTGTGTTCCATGCCCTCACAACTGTAATCCTACTCTTACCCCACCCTGTATATTACCTTCACTCATTAAATCCCAACAGTTCCAAGAGGTTGCTATGCTTACATGCGGAAACTGAGACACAAAAAGGTTAAGTAACATGTCCAAGGTGTCACAGAATTGAAATGGTAGAGCCAGGATTTGAACTCAGAAAGTCTGACTGGAGGCAACGGGCTTTTAACTACTCATCACTCCAATTACTCATATGGGTCCTACCAAGATCAGAAGGAAGCCTGAGACCTAGCTTTGTTTCTCTAACAGGAGCGGTTAGGGAGCTTCACTGTTATTTTCCCTCTTCAAGTGCCCAAGCCAGTGCCCTCTGTGGGTGATTGTTTTCTTGTTCTTAAATATTGCCCTTCCCAGGGGGCGGGTAATACTTCTCCAGCCTCTCCGCCATCACGCTTGGCCATGTGCCTGGTTTTAGCCACCAATAAAATGTGAGAGGAGGTGATGTATGCGATTTCTGAGCAAAAGCTTTATAAGCCAACATGTGGTTCCTCTTCTCCCTTCTAGCATGGTGTTGTTTCGAAGCCAGGGAGGAACTACTCCTTCAGCCCAGGGCTCCGATAAAGATGAAATGGAGCAAAGAAGCAACCATGTTATCATGTGCATGCAAACTATATCTTGGTTGTAAGTCACTCATACTTGAGGGTTTTTTGTTACTGCAGCATTACTTAGTAAAAGCTGACTGATACACCCTCTGAATGTCAATATTTTTAAAGCTGAAATGCAAGAAAGGCTACTAAGAAAATATCCTTACGTAACTAATAAACTGTATTATACTTTATCCAAGAAATCTTGCAAACAGCCTCAAGACAGCTTTCATCTTCTAGGAATACTTTTTATGCAGTGATCCACTCCCATCTCAGAAGGCTAAGAGGCATACGCATTTGCCTAGCTCAGTATACCCTGAGTTCATCGTTCACAGCCCAATACTTTATAAAGAGAATCATAAGGAAAGGATAAAGCAGATTAAAGGTCATGTTAGGTTCGAAGGCATTGATTGGGTGGAATAGGAGAGGAAAAAAGTATATATTTTCCTTTATAGATGGGAATTTGTACCAAAACTTGATAAAGACTCTCCCTTACCTGAGACAAAAAATGTAAGAACTCTTAACATAAATCATCCAGTCCATGATTCAGAACCTGTTGCTATTGTTAGTTCCAAACTACTTACTTCTGTCTTACACAATTTACAAACTTACTGCCCGTGAGCTGAATGCAACATGTAGAATCGTTCATTTGGTTGTGTTGGTTTTTGTATTACATTGATTGCCAACGTTTAAAATTTGAGGTATTTCAAGTAAAAAAAAAATTTATTTCCAGCTTCTACTGAAAAATGGAAAAGGCTGGTTATACTGGGTCTGGGGAACATCAGCTGGAGTTGAGCAGCGGCTGCTCTTTAATCTGGGCATGTTTTCCACAGTCCCCACCGTTCCCTCCTGCCTTGCACCAGGCCCACTTCCCGTACTTATGGGCTTTGCTTTGTCTGTGCAGACATTTGAGTTTGTCAGCCACTGAGTTATTCCACTTCTTTTCTCTTTGTTCTTATTCCTTCCACAGTAAAGTGGGGGAGCTCTCTGAGAGCCTGCTCTTTGCCTCTGAGGACACCACTCTGCCTTTTTTTCTGAACTCTGAGTGACCCAAAGCTGATGGTCTGGCTCCTTGGTTCCAGGAAGGAGTTACCCTAACTCATCTAAAACCATTCTGTGGGTGTGTGTGTGTGGGGGGGGAGGGTTGGAGGGAATAGATGCTTCCCTCTGGAAATCCTGACCACTCTTGTTTAACGGATCCTGTAATATTTACTGGTTTGCATACTTGTACAGCTAGAAGGTCTTGGGGCAGCATAAACCTCCTGCCCACCAGATACTTCTGTTGCTTAACAAACCATAACCGCTCTGATTACATGGAGAATACTAGCAGTAAATGGCTTTAAAATGGTTTTACTGTTTTCTGTTGTGGAAACTCACATGTAGGAACACTGGAACTGTTTTGAAATTCCTTTAGCCTTCCAAATGTAAAATCACTAGACTTGGATATTTCACCAATTCTACATTTGCAGCATAGAGCTAAGGAGACTGGAATCTGCTTGACTGACACCGACACTGGAAAGAGCCCCCCAAAGCCACCTGTATGAAGTAGCCAGTAGTCATTTCTAAGCCCCTAGCATACCCTTTCCTTTTTCCTTTTTTTTCTTTCTTTTTTTTTTTATTATTAGTTAAGGTATTACAAATGTGTCCTCATCCCCCTCCATTAACCCCCTTTCCTTTTTCTGTTCAAAATTTGTTCCCAGACTGAGCTCTCAGGGACTGAAATTTCACTAAGGGCTCAAGGATTACACACCTCGGACCGGGACTCTGCAGCTTGCAGTATGGAGCATGGGAATCAAGGCACACACTGGCGTTCCCGACCTCAGCAATAAAATCATTCTGAGAGTTCTCACGCCAGCACTCAGCTAGCTGCAACCTTCTCCCGCTTGCCTTCTAAGGAGATTAAGACCAGACATTTTATTTTGTTTCCGTTTTAGTTTATTTGAAGGTTTTATGATGTCTTAGTTGAGTAGCTCATGGGACTTCCAAATAAACATGCTGCTTTTAAAAATGGCAACTTGTTTTTATTTATTTCTTTTAGGTGCCCAGCGACCTCTGGATATATTAGGCAGCTTTAAATTATAATTAAAATCATAACTGTGGTCCTAAAACAATAATAGATGTTGAATTATACAAACGCCAAATTAGGATGTCCAGAAAATGGTTTGAAGGAAAGCAGAGTAAGTATGGCATTAAAAAAGTTATCTTCATGGCAGTGTGACCAAGGGGAACTTCTGACAGCTGTCTTCTTATTATTTTTTGCTTTGTTTTGCCTTACTCAAATGTTTGTTTTTGTGTGTGTGTTTGCAGGGTTCGGTGTGTGTCTATGTGTGTGTGTGTGGTGCGGGGATGGGGGGCGGGGGCGGGTATCCAGTTCTTTAGCTGACCTTGCTAGGATTTTACAGGCAAGAGAAATGAAAGGAAACCTGCTTGTCATCTGAGAAAACCCCTTCATCTCAATAATTTCATGAACATTTCTCAAGTCCACGGACACAGGCAGTAGAAGCTGGCATGCCAAATCCGCCGCCTCTGCCCCCCCCTCTCTCTCACACACACATCTGCATTCCTCCATCTGTCATTTTAGCTCATCTTCCTCTCCCAACTGTTCTTAAATTAAATGACTACATCCAATGGGAGATTTTCCTCGGGAAAGCTTATGAGAATTTGTCCAAAGGCAAATTAAAACATTGCAATGTAATCATCCAACTCAACTCACTGCTTGGCTGGTCTCAGTGCCGACTCTTACCCAAAGGAGTTAATCAACCGTGGGGCCCCATATGGAGAAAAGCAACCAGGAAGAAACCCAGACAAGAGAAAATGGAACCCGCTGGCTGGCAGTCAGTGCTGGCAATGAAGGGTGCCGCAGAGGGGGTTGTATGCGGTGTGACGCATCCAAAGGCCAGGACAAGAAGAGTAGGAGGCGAGGAAGGGAAATAAAACAAGTGTGTAGCTCTAGAGCCTCATGGCATGATGCTGTTATCTTAGGGACAAGAAAACGCACCCCTTCTCTCCTTCATTTCCCTGTAGATGAATGGATCAGGCTCACTAGGATTGATGGGCTTCTTCAATCATTGCACAGGATGTTCCTTACATATTGTTTATAATAATATTACTGCTCATCCATCGGGGATTAAATAACTGATGGCACATCCAACACTGGAATGCAGTGCAGCCATTGGAGAGCATGGGGAATACGATACCACTGACATAAAATAAGACATATGTATGCATATGTCCACAGCAAAGACACTTTTTAGGATGTAGTCCAGGTTCACAGTGCTTGCTTCTGGGTGGTGGAATTTTGGGTGATTCCAATTTTCTTTATACTTTGATAAATTGCTTGCATTTCAAAAAAGGATTAAATATCTTTCTAATCACACAAAAAGCCTCAAGCTACGTCCATCTTTGGAAGGAAAAAGAGAGCAGCCTTGGTTCATGGCATATGATGATGTGTGCTGCTCTGCTGGAGCCTCCAAACCCAGGAAAGTCCCAAGGACCCGAGTCCTGGGAAAGGGTCTGGCTGGGCCACCATGACGGGAAGAGGGGCCGTGGTCCCCATGGCGCCCCGACTTTATTCACAGGCAGCTGCACTCCAAACTGATAATCCTTTCCATTGGGGCTTCATGCTCCTACTCAACGCTCCAGGTGCTTCCTCAGGGCCGGGCTTCCAGGTGATCCTCATGTCAACTCTGTGCGGCAGGGGTGGGCGGGGAAGTCACTGGTCTGGGACCTGTGCCATCGTTGGCCATGAATCTGGAGAGAAACCAGAAGCTGCTGAGATCAGCCAGCTGGTCCTCCATCTCTCCGTTCAGGGCTTCTTCCCCGTCTAAACCTTAGTGCTTCCCTTTAGTTTTATTTATTTTTTAAATACTTTAAAATTTTTTTCAACTGCTGTGGATGTACAATAGTGCTGCCCTTTTGGAAATGAGAGGGAAAAGGTTTGAAAGGATATTTTTAACAATCCAGGAATTGGCACTGAAACCTCTGTGTCTTGGTACTTTGGGATGTTCAAGCGTTAGGTTATAATCTGGCTCTAAGCATGCTGACGGTTAGGGGAAATGCTCTTAGACCCCAATGGCCATCAACGGTCACAAGTCACCTGGATGTTGCCGAGAAGGCTCCCTCCCGGAAGTCTGGAAACTGGACAGCATCCTTAGACCTGCTGTGACCTGCAAACAAACTGCCTTCTTAGTCTGCAACTCATCATCCATTTTATTTATTTTTTAAGTATATTTTTTTTATTGATTTCAGAGAGGAAGGGAGAAAGAGAGAGAAACATCAATGATGAGAGAGAATCATTGATCGGCTGCCTCCTCCACGCCCCACACTGGGGATCGAGCCTGCAATCGGGGCCTGTGCCCTGACTGGAACTCAAACCATGACCTCCTGGTTCACAGGTCGATGCTCAACCACTGAGCCACACCGGTCAGGTTCATTATCCATTTTCAATCTAGCTTTGGATTTACACAGAGTTAGATTCTCCCAAGTGCTCCTCCAGCTAGCCGGCGTTCCGCTGGTAACACTGAACAAGGCCACAGTGGAGGCTCAGACGGGCTGCGTTTCGTCACCCGGCCTCCTGACAACATCAGTTCACCTTTGGAGTATTCGCCCAAATGCGCTCCTTCTCTTTGTTTCTCAAATGTTCTCATTTTCTTTTACTTCCCTCTCGGTTTCCTCTTAACCAGATGAGTGACAGAAACTCAATGCTGACCACTTCATTAGCCAATGACCTTGTCCCTCTGGCCTCCTGCCCCGCTCGCTCTCCTGGGCAGGTTGCCTGACGTCATAAGTCCTTGTTAAAGGTCAGGACCTTGGAGCCATCAGCACCGGCATGTTGTTCTAATATATATCTAGAGAAATCAGGCCTGTCGGATCACATTAGGCCCTATTTGTAGACTGTGCGCCAATCCCCGCGGTGGAGATGAACTGTTACCTTTGAAATACAATCATGGCTAGTTACCCGTGAGCACAGAGGAGGAATTGTACTCCACCACCGAGGTCTTCTAATCGGTCTCTCCCCTCACTGGCAGGGCCGCCTTCTTCCTGAGCAGAGAAAATCCTCACCAGCCGTCGTCTTGGAAAGGAGCGAGGCTGAAATACAGAGTCTTTCTTTCTTTCTTTTTTAAAATATATTTTTATTGATTTCAGAGAGGAAAGGAGAGGGAGAGAGAGATAGGAACATTGATGATGAGAGAGAATCATCGATCGGCTGCCTCCTACACGCCCCACGCTGGGTATCGAGCCTGCAACCCAGGCATGTGCCCTGACCGGGAATTGAACTGTGACCTCCTGGTTCATAGGTGGACGCTCAACCACTGAGCACACCGGCCCGGCTACAGTGTGTTTCTAAAACCAGATGTGTTAAGGAGCACCTGAGAGTCGGTATGGTCTGTGACAACTTGATGCCAAGGCGGCCGTGGTCAATTGGCACATGGCTCCTGTTAGTTGGTGTGGTAGTAAAATGATTACGTTGACAGCCACCGTCTGCAGGCATAAGACTCAGCATTTTATATACATGAGCCCACTTGAAATGCGTAATAGCCCTGTGAGGTCACTATTACCATTAAACCCATTTCATTGACGGAAAAATTCAGGTTTATGAAAGTGTAGTGATTTGCCCAAATTCACAAAGCAACTAAGTGACGGGGCTGGGAGTGATTCCGAAGCTGCTTGGAACCACCAGGCCACCGCAGTTCTGCTCTGATGCTATTTGGGCGCTTCTTTGGGATGGGGTTTTAGATGGTGTTTCAAGAGAACCACATTGCAATTCCCCCTGAAGGGCGGGGCCCCAAATACCTCGCTGGACCCAAGAGAAGATTTGTTTAAAAGCGGAATCTGGGACTTAGCCAAGTCCTTTTCCCCTTTCTTCTTTGGGATTGGTTTTAAACTCATTGCTCCATCCCGTGGGAGTCTGGCTGGGCCGATCCCTTGACAGGGGATAGAAATAGCTCTCAGAGCCTATTTTTAAGGAAAATGTGATGTCAGAAGACGAGGCAGGAATGGACACTGGGAAGAGAAAAGCACACTCCAGGCTGGAGGACAACGCTTCTAGAGAGAGCCGAACCCGGAAACGCTGGGAGAGGGGGTGGGGTGCCGACAAAGAGACTAACATTGGCGAAGACAGCCCGGGGTGGGTGGAACTGTTTTTTTGAAACCTGGACCGCACATTTCTGCCACATTCCTTGCGTATTGCCCACAGCAGCTCAGCCGGGGCAGGTAAGGGCTGCCGTCCCGCCGCACAGCCACCGTTCTGCCTGAGAAACGGAGCCTGACAAGGCGCGCCCACCACGTGCCCGCTCGCCTCTTCCCTGGCACCTCCAGGCACAATGCGGGGGTGTCGAGTAACACTGCCGTTTCCTTTGAACTGCTTGGTTTTGTTTGGCGCCCTTGTCTGGCAGGTTGGTCTCTTTGACTGCCTTCACTCACCTGGTATAACATTTTCTTTCATTGAGAAACAAGAAGGCTGGGACTCACCTCTCTGATTCCGGCAAAGCTGGATGCCGTCCAATTGCACTCGGCTAGACTCCTGGAGGCCGTAAATTCTATCTTCCGCGCTAGGGAAGAGAAGAAAGGACAGGGACATTGTTGGGGAGACGGTCGGCGGACCTTTGCAGGCCAAGCGGGTAATGAGGGAGACAAGGCTCGGTTCCTCTCCGCTGATGTCTCCTGGGCAAGATCGGTATCGAGGGTGAGGGCTTATTAGAGTCGATCCCACCTAGGCCAGTACCACAGGCTAACGACACGGCTACCTGCGTCCACCCCCGTTGAAAATGCCGTGGAAAAGCACTTGAACTGCAGAAGCAGCCTCTAAAATTCCAGCTCGGGGCGGCCAACCTCCCGATAGCATCTGATCCTAATTAGAAATTATACAACGCTCTGAGCTGGGCCACAGAAATATGGGTCCAGGGATCAGGACGAGAGCGAGGGAAATTGAAAGTGAAATCTGGTGCTGATTGAAAGTGACGGTGGCCCCCGCATGGCTCCCCAGCCACTGCGTGTCTGCCTGTCCGTCCAGGGAAAGCCTTCCCGCGGTGTTAACTACTGAACACTCGCCTCACTCCGTCCCCCCTTCCCTGGGCAGCTGCGGTGAGCTGGCTGCCGAGATGGAGCCCTGAACCTATCCATCAAGTCCAGGGAAGAGAGAGTTAGAAAGGCAAACATTATCTGGGATCAATATCTTTACAAATCCAAAGGAAACCCCAGCTCCCGAAGGGTTAAGCTGGGGAAGGAAAAGCCATCAGGCTGTTTAGCGAGCTAATGTTTTTATTGATGGGGGAGGCCTTTAAGTCCCTAACAGGAAAAGTGGGGAAAGTGGCGGATTGTTTGGCTGGGGAGAAAGGAGACGGCAAGGATCATTATGTATACTTCATGCTCTCATTCCCCTTGCATTCCAACCCCTGAAGCCCAGGTAATGCAGAAGATGGCCCGTGACCTTGAATAGCATCCAACGTGAGAGTTTCCCCGCTCTTATGCCCCTCCCAAAGTGGAATCCACCTTTTTCTCTAACCATTTTGCTGTAATGCACATCTCAGGCTAATGCCGGCACCGAAGAGAACATCTTAATTTAACAACTGTGTTAGAAAGCACATCTCCAGCTCACATTCCTAGGATAATCCATATTTCAACCTAACTACCCTGGCATAACACTGCAATCTAATTCCCCCACTGTAAAGTACATTGCAATCTAACACCCTCATATAATGTACATCTCAGCCCATTATTTTGTCTTTTGTAAGCCATATTTTGATATGTCTTTCCCATTAAGGAGCAGAACTGTCTGGAGACAACGGCCATCCCCATGCTGAAAGCTTCATAGCTCTTCCATGTCCTTCGGTGACAGGCTGCTGATGGATATGCCTCTGAACTTTCACCTTTGCCATCTCGGGTTGAACTCAGGCTTGTTTCTGTACTTCAAGCCTGAAGCCTCCTGTTGGGAGCAGGAGTGATCTGATCGGGGAGCCCTGCTTGGTCTCGATGGGCCCTCTCTCATGCTAACCAGCAGGGCGAGCCACCTCCAATGATCAGGGTCGATCTCGGGAGAGGGCTGCCTGGGGTCAATGTCAGGGTCACGGGTCAGGGCGTAGCTGCTGGCTAATAGAGTGTAAGCTAACACTGTTGTCAAATTGCTGGGCTAAACTACAATGCCTGCCTCCTGCTGATGACCTTGCCCTGAGGGAGGGGGCTATTGGCTTTATTGGAAACCTGCCAGTCTCGGAGGTGATGGAAGTGGCTGATCACACTAAAGACTGTTTGATTGTTGACGTAGAGCCAGTTCTGTGGTCGGGTCCCCAACCGGAAGGCCCGCGGAGCTGCTTATTGACGGCTGAGTTTTCCGCACGTGATGGATTTCTCCTCTGTTTCCCACGCCGCTGGTTACTGTCCAGTCGTGGAGGCGGGCTTCGGTGGCCCATGGACACGGGTTTTTCTGGCACCGAGGAACGCAAGAGGCGATGCTCTCACTGACTGCCGGGTTGACACCACCTTCTTATTGCCAGCTGAATGGGACTGACTTGTTCTTGAAAGGAAACCAATCCACAATGAATTGAAAATAGATGTAAGAGGTCCTCCGATTCCAAGGCATTTTGGTGAGCATGAAAGAAGGCAACGAGTGTGTGTCCGGAAGAGATTAGTATTCTGGCCATCATTATCTCAGCCTCAAACGGCCAACCTTTCCCATGCAGGAAGAAGACATTAGATTTCTTTATTTGCCGGGAGATATAACCAGCCTAGTCGTGCCATGAAATATTTGAAGGGAAGGTTACTGAAAACTTAGAATTCCAAAATTTCCCAGCATAGTCTGAATTCATAAGGGACAAGTCAAGGAGGTAGAGAGCAAAGTAGAGAGATAGAAAACGATCTTTATAAAAAAAAAAAGTATGGATTGTGGAGGATTACCAGCTAATTAAACCTAATAGCCTGCTAAGGTAGACAGTAAATGACTAAAGGCATAAATAGGAGAAGAGCTTATTGAAACTACAAGCGTATTCTCCTCTTGTGCTATGGCTTGGGAAGACGTGTATAGAAATGGTACCCCTGGTCTTTAAGTCGCTAACTTAATAGAGATGGTGGAGCATCTGTGGGGAGCTCCGCAAGTGAACTTGAAGGGTTTTTCCCAGGGAAGAATTGACTGAGGGTGATTTATCATTGACCTTCCAGTCTATTAGATGACAGGGTAAGTGATGTGTCGTTAAGCCATGTCAATATGGTGTGATGGCATTTAGTGAGATTTTGGCTTGGCTCCTGTTACTATTTCCACCTCTTTAAGCCTCAGTTTCCTTCTTTGTTAAACAGGATCATGCCATACATCTTGCATAGTTACCATGAAGATTGATTCAGGTGCAGAACTATGAGTAGAGTACTTGACACAAAGTTCACAGCAATACACATTGATTTCCTTTTCCTAAACTGTGGCATGAGCTTTCTGACAGGCATTAATAAATACGGGGTCTTAGACAATATACTTCCTCTTTGTGAGCAAGTAAAACAATCACATATACAAAGTTCATGCAAACTCCACCTGACCACAGGAGGATGACCTAGATCAGTGTTAGCAAACTAGAGCCCACCACCTACTTTTATAAATAAAGTTTTACTGGAACACATCCATGCTCATTCATTTACATTGTCCATGGCTGTTTCTGTGCTACAATAACAGAGTGTGACAGAGACAGTGTGGCCCATCAAGCCTAAAATATTTACTCTCTGCCCCTTTCCAGAAATGTTTCTTGGCTCCTAACCTATTGCAATGGAACACACTTTCTTTTGTTTAAAAACAAAATGTTATGTGGAAATCCAATATGCAAAGCAGGTTCAAGCAGCAAATATTTTCCAGGGACTGGACTTCCCTGTTTAGCACAAACACTTTATTGTTGGTAGAACTATGAAGCGATATTAGTGGTTCCATGGAGCGGTTGGAAAATTATGGACTGAATAATCTCTGGATATTTCTTTAAGGTCCTGGAAACTCAGTGATTTCTTAGGAGATTAGAAAATGGCAAAGAGAATATGTCCATGCCTAGCAAGTCCTGGGATCTTTCTTTTCCTTCCTTTCCTTCCCTCCCTCCCTTCCTTCCTTCCTTCCTTCCTTCCTTCCTTCCTTCCTTCCTTCCTTCCACTACTAACTGTGTGATGTTGGGCAGGTTACTTAACTTTTCTGTGCCCCCATTTTCGCATTTTAAAAATGAGGATAATATTTGCCTTGCAATTTATTGCATGGGCTAAACAAAATAATATTGAAAGCACTTGACATCGGGCCTGGCTCATAGCCAGGGCTTAGAAAACATTGATTACTGTTGTAATTGTTACTATGACTCATTTGGGCCTTCATTTCCGCTGTGAAGATCATCTGCATAATGGCGTTTTCTGTTTGTTAGCAAATTCAGTTGGTCACTCACTGAACATATATTTTGTGGGCCGGAGTGACAGTCAATGAACCGAAGCCGCTCAGGGCCGCGGCACACCCAGTCTCCTCTTCCTCAGTCACTTCCAGCAGTTCCCGTCGGTGTTTACTGCTCTGCATCTGATGCTGAGGTTCAGACTGACACCACTGCTCAAAACAACTTCCTACTGCTCCATCCCCGACGGCTCCACCATTAATTTTTCAATGAGCAGTTTGGTGTAGATGCCTACAAAGTAATTAGACCTTAAAGTCTCTTTATCCTGATTTTATCCTGTCAGCGAATGTGAGAGAAACAATAATTATTATTTAATATTTATTGAGTGTCTTCGTTGTGACATGTAGACTCATGGAGGCACCCTACCTGCCTTCCTGTCGAAGCTGACAGCGCAGCACAGACAAGCGTGGCTCAGGAAAGTAGTCAAGCAGCGCTAGATACGTATTCATATAGATCCTGCCACGTGTCATGCTGCTCCATCAAATGGCTCATGTGGGGCATTGAGAGGGTCCTAATTTGTTATCTCTAACTGCGTCTTCTAAAGTGTGATCCCAACATGGCAAATTCCCCAAAAGACACCCAATGATTCCTTGTACCAAGCAGAGGGAGCTCTTTGGGGGATGTTTTCCATCATTGTCAAGAGAACGGTGGATTGGACACAACCACAAATGCCACGGGACTTTATCCTTCACCCCAGAAACTAGTTCAGGTTGCCCAGACCAAGACACAGCGCTGTCCACCAGAGTGGCAGGTAGACAATATTATCTACTGGTTGCTCCACACAGATGGGGGTGGTGTGGTTCCGCAAGTTGCTTTATCACCCTGAGTTTCAGTTTCCCCAACAACCAATGAAAAAAAAAAACACAATAGCTGCCTCACAGGATTGTTTTGCAGACCAAATAAAATAAGTACACAGTATGCGGTAACTGCTGTAATTATCGGTAATATCATTATACTAGAAAAGAAACAGAACACATAGTTTCTGTTTTCAAGTGGCTTACTGAATAGCAGGATATAAACATAGGAAATAAACTTGAAAAACATTTACACATCTACATCCAAATAATGTAAAATAAAGATTACCTGAAAGTCAGAGGTATCAGAGTGACTTGTGGACATGATTAGCTCTTATAATTTGATGTAAAGAGATTGTAGACTCCTGGATGACAGCCCTTCCTAGCAAACAATCCTTCGCATTTCAACGACTCAGTATGTGTCTGCTGAACTGAATTGAACTGAATTTCTTTGTCAATTCAGTAGAATCATACAAAACATAATCACTGGAATAATTAAAGGGTGCACAGGTGGGAGGAATGAGAGCCACTTACTTCAGTAAGATACAGACATCAACATCACAAAACAAGAGTACTGACATCAATATCAGAAAACTAAAACAAAACAGAAGCTTTTAAGAAGAATGGACAGATAGGATGGAATATTATTTAGCAATAAAAAGGAATGAAAGTATGCTAAAACATATGGATGAACCTTGAAAAGGTGCTACTTGAAAGAAGCCAGTCACAGAGGACCACATATCAAATGATCCCATTTATAGGAAATGTCCACAACATAAAAATTCATAGAGACAGGAAGTGGGTTAGTGGTTGACTGGGGCTAAAGGGGTTTGGGGGGAAATAGAAGTGACAGTGAGGCCCGTGGATACGGGATTTCTTTTGGGGGTGATGAAAATGTTTTTACAAGTGAGTGTGATGATGTTTGAATATACCCCAAATCATTAAGTTGTACACTTTGGGTGAACTGTTTGGTATGTAAATTCTATCTCAATAAAGCCTTTAAGAAATTTTAAAGAGAATGGGCAAACATATTGTGATATCTTTGGCAGAGTGGAAATGCAGGTAAATGCTCTATGATTGCATAATCTTATGTATTTATAATACATACATATAACCTATGTATAATTTATAGCTATATGACAGGATTTTTGAGGTGTAATTTATATACAAGAAATCATAAAATTAACCCACTTTAAGTGTATGTATATATTTTTTAAAAAGTAAAACCCAGAACTATTTCATAAGAGGAGTAAGAAGCACAGACATGAATATATATATTCTAATGGAATTATAAGTTATTTTAATTTTCTACTTTTTGTATATCCATATTTTCTAAAATTTCTACAATTAATATATTACTTTGGAAAGAGATAAGTATTATTAAAGTAAAATGTACAATAGAGACAAAAAGTGGTAAGAGACATAGTGTGAAAGTGAGAGCCAGTTAATTGGGGCAGATGTCCTAGAGGGCAAAGTGGATGTGTGGCCATGAGAACGGCGCCCTGGATGGGAAAGGAACGTCACATGTGGAGCAAGGCAAGGGGCTGGCGTGCAGGGGCTGGAGAGGAATGAGCCCGGTGAAGTGGGCAGAGCACGGGGGAGGAAGGCCCTGAAGAGCTGTGAGAAGGCTCTGAGCCTGACCTAATTGGTTCTGGGAGGTAAAGTGATTAGGAGAGTATCCAGCCACAGTACACCCTGGCCCGAAGACTGAGGGATGATGGGAGGATATCCACAGGAGGCAGCTTTTCTGGGGCTCAGCAAAAGGAATGGGGTGGCTCCTTCAGAGCAAAGGTTTCCAATTGGTTTGGTTAAGTACTGGTAATTGTGGGGGCTACAGCAGTCAAAGGGATCATGTCCTTGGTCTTTATAACCTTTCTAGAATTGTTCTTAACATCATGTCTCCATGTTATCAAGAACAAGAGTAGGAGCCTGCAGTAGTGCACAAGATAGACTGAAGGGAAATGCTAAAACCCAGGAGATTGCTGGTGTTGCTCAGTGGTTAGAGCATTTAATTATGTACTAAAGGGTTATAGGTTCGACTCCTGGTCAAGAACCTGTGCCTGGGTTGCGGGTTCAATCCCCAGCCCCCGTTGGGGCTTGTGAGGGAGGCAACCAATCGATATCTCTCTCATCAATGTTTCTCTCTCTCTTTGCCCCCCTTCCCTGTGTCCCTCCTTTCCACTCTCTTTTTTTAAAATATATTTTATTGATTATTTTACAGAGAGGAAGGGAGAGGGATAGAGAGTTAGAACATCGATGAGAGAGAAACATCGATTAGTTGCCTCCTACACACCCCCTACTGGGGATGTGCCCGCAACCAAGGTACATGCCCTTGACTGGAATTGAACCTGGGACCCTTAAGTCCGCAGGCTGACGCTCCATCCACTGAGCCAAACCGGTTAGGGCGTCCACTCTCTCTTAAAAAATCAGTGGAAAAATATTCTCTGGTGAGGATTAACAACAACAAAACCCCACAAAACAACAACAAAAACCCAGGAGATCAGCTGTGAGTCTCCGGGAGCAGTGCAGGCCCCAGCAGGAACCGAAAATAGCTTTCAATGTATGTCCCCAATGAAGTGCACTGCAGGTGGCTCACAGGGCATTGTGTTGAGAAGATACAAAAAGCCACCTCCTGGCTCAGGGTGAAAGGAGGTTGTGATTGATTAATAATGTCTGCTGTGGGCACAGGCACGAGCCGTGATGGCACCCGTGCCGCATTATTTTCTAACCCTGGAAGAGGGGCATTTTTTGGGTTCAGCCCAGCCTCATTCTGCAAGTCCCCAGGAAATCAAAACACTTTTAGGTCTGCCTCAAGTGGTGAGGTCTGACAAAGTAGACTTGGAGGTCTAATCTGAATTCCTTTAAATTCCCATGAAAATATTCCAATCCCCTTGAGCTGCTGAGTCAAACCCAGGAAGAATTCCCTTGATAGCGCTGGCCTCGCCGGGGGCCTGCTCAGAGAAATGTAAACTTTCTATTTCCAGCGCTGTTCAAATGAACAGACTCAAGAATGCAAAAACGGCGAGGATGGGTGGGAAGGGGGCTGGGCCCTCTTAGTTATGGAGAAGCCCCTTCGTGAGTGACGGATGCAGGCTGCTACCTTCTCTCTCCAAGGAAAGATATTTTTAGTTTATCCTGGGCACCAAATAACTATTCATACGTCCCGAGTGATGATGAATTCATTCAAACAACGAGTCAAGACCCTGGATATCACTCATCTCCAGTCAGTCATAGCAGCTGACAAATATAAAACACAACACACACCCTGTTAGTCTTGCTTTTCCTTCTCCTCAATATGCATACTCAAGAATCTCATCCCATTCCTGGCTGTCAAAGATGGGGACAGTTGTGGGGGATTCTAGTCTTATCAAAGGAGATTATTTTTTTTAACCCAAATTATTTTCCATTGTAAATGTTTAAATCCATACTAAGTCCAGATTAATGCAAGAAGCAGCTTCAAAGGATATCGACTGGGGGGTGGAGGAGATAATAATAATAAATGAAATTGTTAAGGATGGGACCCGTCTCTGGGAATATTTTCGGGACCAGAAAAGAAAGTTGTTTGGATTTAAAAGCTATCTAAAGAAAATATGTTTCCCAGTGATTGCTGGCCCCTTTCACAAACACCCAAACTTTGTATACAAACCAGGGCCTGGAGCACTTTCTTTTTTCCTGATTGGAATTAATAATGCAGATAGACGCTAAATAAATCAGGATTAGTGTTACCCGCATCTTGAGGTTTAGGATGCTATAGGAAAATAAAAAGAGAGAGGGAAAAAAAATTGGTTGCTTTAAACACACACACACACACACACACACACACACACACACACACACACACACTTCCTAGGC